GTTGTTCACCATGAACCTGAGGTACTTCCTGTGGGGCTGAGTGATCTGAAAGTATGCATCCTTCAAGTCGAGGGCGGCATACCGGTCTGCTGGATCCAATGGGGGAGGCCAGAGAGACCATGTGGAACTTGAGTTACTTTATAAGCGTGTTGATTTCCCGCAGGTCCAGGGTGGGCCTGAGGCCGCCTTTGACTTTTGGTATTAGGAAATACCAGGAATAAATTCCCCTTGGCTCCTGAGGAACCTCCTACGCTGCCCTTAAAGATAGGGGTGATTGCGCCTCCTGGATAAGGAGTTGCTCGTGAGAAGGGTCCCTGAAGAGGAATGGGCAAGGGGAGTAGAAGGGTGGGAGGGCACAGAATTGGATGGGGTATCCCCTCTCTACCGAGCGGAGCACCCATCAGTCTGAGGTAATAAGGGACCATGCATGGTAGAAAGGAGAGAGTCAGGATAAGAAGGTAAGGTGGGGTGGATCCATCTCCAGGTGTGGTACACCGTCCTTGACCAGGCCTTCAAAAGGCAGGCTTCGATTGTGCCAAGCTCTGGCCAGAATGTTGACGTGACCTTCTTCTGCCGTTTCTGTTCTGCCTTCTGTAGCCATCTTGGCGATTCTGCTGACTGAACCTCTGAGTGGGCTGCGGCCAGAAGTGTCTCCGCTGAGTGGAAGGTGTGTAGAGGCCCAAGGACCTGAAGGGGCTCTGGAGTTCTTCAGGCTGTTTAGCCTTTTGTCTGTCTTTTCTGAAAACAGAGTTTCACCCTTGAAAGGCAGGTCCTGTATGGTCTGTTGGACCTCAAAGGGGAGACCTGGAGCCACAAGCCCCTTCTCATGGCTACACCCATGGCCATGACTCTAGTGGCAGTGTCTGCCCCATCAAGTGCTGCTTGCAGAGATGCCCTGGAGATCACTCTCCCCTCCTTGACCAAAGCCGAGAATTCAGCCCGGAAGTCCGAGGGAAGTAACTCCGTAAACTTAGCCACCACTGAACAGGTATTATAGGCTTTCCTGATGATGACGGCCTGGTGGTTGGAAATTTGGAGTTGCAGTCCTCCTGTGGTGTATAGCTTCTGACCGAATAGGTCCAGTTTTTTTGCATCCCTATTCTTGGGGGAAGGGCCCTGGAAACCTTGTCTCTCTCACTGGTTAGCAGCGTCCAACACCGGAGAGTAAGATTGTGGGTGAGTGTATAGATCAGGGGTGGGCCACACTGGGGTTGCAAAACTGTATGGAGGACTGGAAAGGGAAGGCTGTGCCTCTCCAAACAGCCTGGCCCCCGCCCCATCCATCCCTCCCACTTCCCGCCCCCTGACTGTTCCCCTCAGAACCCTTAAACCATCCAACCCCCCTTGGCCACTGAGCTGGGTTCTGCCATTGAGGGGCCCACTGCATCAGCCGGGACCTCCTATGCTGCCTTGAGTTTGATCTTCTGCTCCTGCTATAGTCAAAGCGGTATGAGTTCGACTTGGAATATGAGGACCAGGGCAGCGCTGCACCTCTCAACATGGAGCATCGGGAGCCCAGGGACTGACTGTGCTCCCTGGATGGAGGCCCTGGCATCTGTGGTTGCCGAGGCGATGAGCGGCGTGACATCATAGCCGGCTTTGCCTTTAACAGCACAGTGTGGGATGGAGCCTGCAGTGCTGATGCCTTCTCCTGTCTCGGGGCGAGAATGGCACTGTGAGTCTGAGCAGGTCCTGTGCTGCCTCAAACGCTTCAGGAGTGGAAGGAAGCAGCAGGCTCTCCGAAGGGTTTGGCGCTCCAAGTCTCAGAGCCGTGGCCTGACTGTGATGCCACTGATGGCTGGTGTCTGGATCTAGACAAAGGGGATCAGCCCCTTTCGATCCTCTTCTTCTTCTGCACTGGCAATTGGGACCGGTGCCAAAGGATGGAGTGTCCCCGAGATGCTCCATGATGGTGCCTGGAGTCCTTGGGCTGTGTCTTTCTTTGGCACCTGGTCTCTTGAAGAGGGCGCTGGCGTGCTCCGCGCTGAAGAAGACATGCTGATGGTGGGATCCCCGGCACCAGTGTCTGACTGCAGTCACCAGTGTCTGACTGCAGCTACCTCCATGAAGAGAATTTTAAGCCACAGCTCTGTCTCTTTCAGGGTTCTTGTTGGGAGTTCCCAACAGATTTTACAGCGGTCTTTTTGGTGACCCTCACCCAGATACTGTAAACAAGAGCTGTGGGAGGGTCACTTTTTGGCATGCGCTTCGCGCAGTCCTTGCAAGTCTTGAAGCCTGGGAATCGCGGCATACCCCAGAGGCAACAAATAAGGGAGAGAAATGGGGGAAAACCCCTTTAAATGAAACTTACAACTGACTAACTAACTATACTAAACTACACAATCTGAATAAACACGGTGCGGACAACAGAAATCGAACTGCTAAATCACTTGCCGGAGCAAGAGCAAGGGAAGTTCCAGCTACTGTCACTGGAGATAAGAAGGAACTGAGGGGTGGCGGGTCAGCAGGGCTATATATGGGCGCCATGAAGGCACGACTCCAGGAGCACCCAGGCTGATCCTATGGTTGCTGCTCGGGAAAAATCTTCCGGCTAGTGTGCATGTGCACATACCTGATTGGAACTGACATGAACAAGCATGCGAAGAAAAACTTTTTTTTAAACAGAGAAATCATGAATTAGTGATTATAGGGCTTGCTCAGCTGATTCAGGTGTTCATTCATTTCCCAAATGAACCCAGCCATTATTCAGGTTTGGTTACGAAGCCCTATACACACACACACACTCTCCTCTATAAACGTGGGAGAGAGGGATTGGAGGCTCCTACGTTTGCTAAAATCCATGTTGGCAAATCTCCAAATTTCAAAAGGACCAAGGAAAGCCTTGCTGCTGAAGGAATTTTAATAGAGCAGCCAGACAGAACTTCAGACCAGAGACCACACTAAAGGTGAATGTCCCCATGGGTGAGATTTTATTTGGAGTTTGAGAAGGGAGAAAAATGTGTCTGATCAGGAAGAAAGGATGTGCATTCAAGTGTGTGTGTATTTTTTTAAATTCTTATATAGACCTTATTAGGTTTTCTCATCACTAACATACGCACAAGAAAAATCTGAAACAAACTCCATCCTATCAACCTCTATCACAATATGTCATGAAGAAAAATATAAAATATTTCCCTTTGCAGCTTGTTATGCATTACTTTCAAACTCAAGCTATTCCCATTTTGGCAATCTGACTAGGACATTGTTAAATGTTCTATTCCTTAAATGTTTCTGCAATAACGAGTCTGTCACAATATGCCATGCTGCCTCACTAGCAACCAAACTTAAAAAATAATAAGTACGCAGGTAAATTGGAGGGTAAAAAATGAAAGCAAGTTTTACTTTAGGTTATTCAAAATGGAGATGCCGTTCCAAATTGAAATTGTCAGCCTTACAATTAAATATGAACATGGTGGCTCCTTCCTTGAAGATAAAAGCTACTCATTCAAGTCACTGATCTGATTTATACAGTATATGTATCCCCTACCAAGGCGCTGTTTCAATATGACAACAGCAAAGACAGCTTAAGTTGAAGGCAGAAAGAATCTTTCTGTAATAAAATACTAAAGGGAAATAAATACTAAAGAATTTTAACACCAGCAAGGGGACCACACTCAAAATGAAATATGGTATTGTCCAGCTGTTAGCTGGCTCTGTTATAAACTATTTCCCATATAAAAAGAAATGAAATTGTAAACATATCACCTAACCAGGTGACATGTCTCCTGGTCCAGTATTTTATGAATGTTGGGACAACTCCTCAAGTGCCCTGATCTGCTATGGAAGGCCCAACCATGGTCACTAGGGAATTCTGCACACCCTGTTTTTCACAGACCTTGGGTCTGTGTTGGCTCTGCAGGGGAAAAGGTAGAGAGCAAGAAACGTGTGTCGTCCCCCCCAGTTTGGCCTGTAACAACTTTCCTGACTTGCAACTGCAATGCAACACAACACAGCCTAGGACTTCTCAGCCACGTACATGTGCTAGTTAGCACTGACATGATTGTCCTAATTAGCAAATTTTTAATAATTATATTATCGTGCCCACAAGTATTCATCAAAGATTCCTTTACTTTAAAATTTGCATGAGGATGGCAGAAGTTCTTTAAATACAGGGAGTTAACAACATATGCCAACAAGATAAGGGTTATACTGTACATTCTACCTGTTTTCGCTGGGATTTTCAGAAAGTAATATCAGAATGAAGGGACGAGTCTGCTCATCTAGTCTGACCGCCCGCAGAACAAGGCCATAGAACTTCCCCCAAATAATTCATGTTTGAACTAGAGCATATTTTTTAGAAAAACATCCAATCTGGCGCCGAGTTAGAAGAGTGAAATGACTTCCCCAAGGACACACTTCATAGCTGGAAATAGAACTTAGGTCTCCTTAGTCCTTTTCTATTTCCTATACAGACCATGATGCCTTTCTCTCTTAAATAAACCTCATGGAATTAGGCATGCATTTCCCTTTGAATTTCAACGGGAGTTGTGCACCTAACTCTTAGTCTCCTTTGAAAATCCTAAAAAAAATAAAAAAAGATACCATACTCCTGTGGAATACATTTACTTGTCACAATATTCCTACATTTCTCTGGAGCATGCAAGGGAGACATTGAAATACCGTGGGAACAACTGGAGAATTTTGTCTAGTGCTGGTTTGTAAGGAACCAACATGTAGCACTTTCATTGGTCTTCTGTAAGGTAGTCTCCTTACCATCAATATTAAATGCAATGATACATTGCAGACAGCCATCATGAATTCATGTTAAAAAAGAAACATTTTTACACAGACATTTATATTCCAGCATCCCAAATTACTTTATAGCTGTAAAATCTGAGTAGTGGAACAACATGAATACAATGACCAAACATTCCTGGCAGAAACAAAGAAATCAGGTTATACTATGTTAGTCTTATTTTTTAAATGTTGTTTATTCCTGTGTAAATTGTGATTAAAGCCAGACTGATTTTCTAGGCTAACAGCAATGTTTCTCATTACAGTTGGATAGTGTCACTTCACTAATTCAGGCTGCCAAAAACTTAATGAATGCTGTGGTGCAGACAGTGAAGATGTCCTATATTGCCTCCACTAAGATCATCAGAATTCAAAGTCCTACTGGCCCACGACATGCTGTTGTGATGTGGAGGATGAAGGCTCCAGAAAAGAAGCCCCTGATTAAAAGAGAGAAGCCAGAGGAAATCTATGCAGCTGTCAGAAAAGGTTCTGCTAAGAAAAGAATCCATCCTGTTCAAGCTATGAGTGAATTTAGAGGAAGAGCAATAATCTAAAATTACTATTCTGCCACTGTGCACATTTCATACCTTGCAACTGCTCATATGGCATCTTTATTTTTCCACTTGTTTAATTCTAGAAGTATGCTAATGTTTGGAAATGCTCTTCTTTTTGTATGTTTAACATTAGCGGTAGCGTATTTCATCTTTAAAAACAGATATTTAAAATGCAGATTTGATTAGTTAATAGTATACCATTTAAAATAACCTTTTAAAAATCATCTTATGTTATTGCTCACTCTTTACAATGCCTTTTTTTTTTTGCAGCTGAGCATTTTGAATGATAGGTTAGGATGCTGTGTTATAACAAGAGTTAGCCTTCATGTAATTGAAAGGCAAGGCACAAGTAGTCAACTTCATCACTGGTGTAACTCTCTTGACTACAGTGGGGGTTACACCAAAGATGAATGTGGCCTGACAGTTTTATATTCAGAGCGCTTTATGACATACAGGCTTCTATGGGTAGGATATATTGGGCCATCTCCTTAGCTGGCCTAAATCAAAGGAAATGTACTGAGTTACACCACATAGGGATCTAGCCCATTCACTTATCTAAATTGAAAGACATTTTAAAAGATTTTTCTTCATAAACATTAGGTATAAACAAAAATGGAATAAAAGTTTTAAAATATTTGACAGAACAAAAGGTGGATTGTAACAATGGGGGTTGTAATAATATAATATAAAATAGAGCTGATTGTAATGAAACTATAGCAATAGTAATAACTCTAAAATTTAAAGAGCTCTTTGAAACTTTTATATTAATCCACATTCTGCTTCCTGGCCTGCTCTATGATTGTCACTCATCTTCGTAAGTCCTAATAAATCAGGTAATAACAAAATTATTTTAGATTATTTTGTTAAAAGAAAGAAAAGAAATAATGGTAAAAATGATACAAAGAAACATATGACTGGTCCTGACATCAAGGAGAGGTGTAAATGTTCAGGAAGTACCCTATAAATATCAGTCTTTGCAAGAAGAAAAGGAGTACTTGTGGCACCTTAGAGACTAACCGGTGCCACAAGTACTCCTTTTCTTTTTGCGAATACAGACTAACACAGCTGTTCCTCTGAAACCAGTCTTTGCAAGATAACTGCAGTGGATTAAACTACGTGTCCATGGCACCAAACAGCACAACTAAATTAGTTGTAGCCAGCTTGCTAAATTACTTTATTTCAAAGTATGCCATGAAGCTAAAAATGGTGTTAATTGTTAAAATTATCACCTTATTCCTATAAAACATTGAGTGAAATAAACTATTTTCAAGCAAATGCAAATCTTAGCCTATGTTCACAATGAATTTGTGACCATGAGCTGAAGTGAGTCATACAGCTACATAGCCAGGAGCTTCCCTTCCTGCCCAGTCATCCACATGCCTCACCCTATGTCCTAGGCATCAGTACTTAGCTAAAACACCTTTGGCTAAAAGGATTGGTGGTCCACCTCCTCCCGTCGCTGTGTGTTAGTGTCTGCCTAGGAATCCCCTCTCATTCCACACCTTCATGATGAATAAGATCGCTGCTTCTTCCTCAAGCAGATTTTTCCGGAAGCCAAACACTATGTCTGCTGCCTATCCACACTTTATTAAAATGTTACAGAGAACAGGATGAGCCAGTTCCTTTCCCCCATAGGGGAGGATGGTCAGGGAAAATATTCCCCCCACCTTCTGAAGCCATCTTGTAACTAAGCTCAGGGTCATGACACATCATAACCCCAAGGGTGTTTGCTAAGCACCCCCATTAGTACTCTAGCAAACAGTTACTAGGGATAATGAGGTTTGTTGTCTCTCAGATTAGTTACTTAGGCCCAGATTCTCAAAGGTATTTAGGTGCCTAACTCACATGAGGAAGGTGGCTAAATATCTTTGAGAATCTGGGCCCAGGTGGCTACAGAGATGAAAGAGGTATGGGGAGGCTGGCACAGGCTTGCCTCTTCACCCCCTCAAAGCATTTAATGGTGTGGAGAGCAGCCCATAGCACTTAGCAAGGTGAATGGGCACCTGCCATTCCTTGTAGTTCTAGCGAGAAGGGGGTCAGCTGTATTGGACATTCTTTGTGGAGTTTTGCATTTTGGAACTCAAACCTCCAACTGGTATTTCAGGTTCTCTTCCAGCCCCTGAGAGCAGAACTGTACAAGGTTAAGTTTGTGCATCTACCACCGGGGGGCGGGGGGTGTCACAGAGTCATCCGCATTGTCCTTTCAATAAAGCCTTTAGGCTCTTTGAGGCATGCATTTGTTATGGGTCACTTTGGTATCAGATGTTTGTAATTAATCATGACTTCAGGAATCACATTAATAATAAAAAGCATGTGGCACACCCCAAAGAGGATTTCTCAGATTTTGTGTGTCCTGATTAAAGTCTCCAGTACTAGTCACATGTAGAACAGATGTTGAGTCACTTTATACATATCGCTCTCACAACTACATACCACACTGAAATTAAAAGCATGGCCTGAGATGGTAGCATGAAAGTGAGTTTACAAAAAAAAAAAAGTTCTAATGGGAAACCTGGCAACTTAGCTTCAGATTAAAAACACTCTTATTGTTAGTGAAAACAGATGTTGAAACCTTAGGGCCAGATTGTACCTACAACCCCAGCTCATGTTGGAGGCTCTAGCAGAAGCTCTGCAAGGCACTGTGCCTCAAAAGCCAAAAGGACTGCCACACCACCACCCGTTAGGAAAGTGCACTGTTGCTTCTCCTCCCTCCACCCATTTGCAGTAACTAGAGCCTGCAGAAACACTAGCAGGGATCAGTCCTTGTACTTGAAATGCTGGATGATACCTCTGGGGTGTGGGAAGGGAGACCAAAAAAAAACCCCTCATGTCCTCCCAATTTGCATACCTGCATTGTAGCCATTCACCATCTGGCCCTTTCTATGCTCTTGCAACCCTACCAATCCAAGAATATTTGAAGAAAAGGAGTTTTAAGAAAAGAGTATGTTTTCACTGCTTATTTTTGTCCACCATAGTGTCTAAGTCCATGTTTGCTGGTATGCTTTACTTTTAAAATACACAGGCAGTGTGCCCACACATGCTTAATAAGAAGAGCATCATGGAGAAAAGATTGGCAGGTATATTTATAGACTGCAAGTACCAAAAAGAGATGAGTTTTTAATCTATGTGCTTTATTTGATGTAAGTTACAGTTCCACAGAGTGACTATTATTAAACCACCATCTCATTGCTTAACAACTCTGCCTGCATTTGTATTCTCCATTCTTTTATAACATCAGTTATCTATATCTGACACCGCTATTATAAAATAACACTGATGGCCTCTGAAAGAAGACATACGATGATAAAACGGACATTGGCTGAATATTTCTGTAAATCATTTGATACAAGTTGAAATCTGTGTGAAAATATAGCAAATTACAGTATATCTGGAACCAAACCGCAGCCCAGGGTATTTTGATTCAGATCTTCTGAATCCAAATGTCAAAGCTTACTTTTGGGGCACCCCTGCAGAAATTCAGAAGGCAAGCTCTGACCCATTTAGCTTGCTGTAAATATATTATATGTATATTACAGGAGGTACCTAGATGGCCCAAACAAGACTTGGGGCCCATTGTGCTAAGCACTGTACACAAACATCTAGCAAGAGTGACACAGCAAGGAACTGAAACCCGGCCTCTCAAATCTCAGGCTACTACTGCATCTTCTTTTCTATCTCACCAGTGTCAGCAAGGTGCAGTGGAAATCCTTCAGTGAAATAACATATAATACTGACAAGAAGCAACATTAACATATCCCAGCTGTAGTTTACATATTTAAAGATGTACAAATCATCAAAAATTAAATGTATGCTCAGTGCATCCACCAAGATCAGGGGCATGTCCTTCCTCTGCTTACAGAATATTAACCAGCCAAAGAAAAGTTTTATATAAGACCTAGCCCAATAGACATCACTTTCTTCCTGGCTGGAAAATGAGAAGTCAGTCTCAAAGTTTAAAAAAATGTGTGGGATGGGGGGGAATATGGGCAAAGGTTTATCACCTCCAGTCACTGTGAAGGACCGGCACAGTAAGATTCAATTTTTTTTTTTAATGTGACAGAAGGCCTCACTCTTAACCAACCAGCAATCAGAAGAGGTGGTGTTTCTCCCACACCCCCACATACATTTGTGACTATTATTTGTTAGCTCAGCGCATCAGTTTTGTCATCACTCAGAACACCCAGCCATTGTGTTTGGATGGCTTTGGTTTTTGTTTGGTGCCACTAAATAGCAGGTCATCATTTCCTTTGAAAGCTGAACTGTCATAGAGCCAACATCTGCAGCTTTCCAGGGCTTGCACAGCTCAGGGTCTCTGATGCTTTCCATCTGACCTGTGCCTATTGTTGAATAAGTGAAGCAGTTAACAAACAAGCTCTGTCATTACTCAAACAGCTTTCTTTTAAAATTCAATGAAATAATACAGACTATACGACGTAGATGGAATTTTTCATTTTTTAAGCACATGGTACAAAAGGAAGCGTGCATAATCCAGTTCTGTGAATCCAGTGATATTTTTCTTTAACAAATAATTTGCCTGTTTCAGTCTTCACAGGTGTTGTCATGGTTTCCTTCAGTGTTTAATATTTTTAATTAGAAAAAGCCACAGTCTGCCTGCTTAGGCCGCGTAATACTTTACTCTGTAAATTTTCCCAATGATTTCATTCCTCCCTAAACACAGTGAGCCATTGCTAATAAACACAATTCCTCTGCGTTCTTTGTCTCGAAATCAGTTTTCCCTCTACCTCTTTTACTCGTCTTAGGGCTTGGTCTACCCTACAAACTTATGTTGGTGTCACTACATTGCTCACGGATGTGGAAAAGTCAACCCCTGAGCAATGTAGTTATACCGATCTAACCACCAGTGTAGGCAGGAGGGCTTCTCCTATCAACATAGCTACTGCCTCTCAGGGAGGTGGAGTACCTACACTGCTGGGAGACGCTCTCCCAACCTAGTGCTGTCTACACCAGGGATTAGTTTGGTATAACTATGTCGCTCAGGGATGTGTAAAATCCACAGTTATACTGCCAAACGTTTGTGGTATAGATCAGGGCATAGGAAGAGCAAAAGAGGTAGAAGTGAAACAGTGATTTCAGAGACAAAAAAATGTAGTTATACCAACATAAGTTTGTAGTATAGGGCTCAAGGTATAACTCGGGTGTGTCACTAATCTGACTCCTGTCCACAAACAAAAAATTCAAGCTGGAAGAAAGTGGTACTTTAAACCTGAGCTAGGTGGGTGGGTGCGGGAACTGGAATGTTTCTGAACCACCAGCTATTAATGCAAAGGGGATGTGCAGGCGAGTTTCACTACGTATCACTCAAGTGGTGTTTCACAGTGGTGGTCACTTTCATGCAAGCCAGGCTAGCTTGAGTGCAGTAACTTACACTAACTCTTGCAGTGAAGACAAGCCTGAGTTGGGAAAGGTGCCAATTATTTGTCCCTGTGCTGGTATCCTATGTCAGTTTAAAATTTCTGTAGCTCTTTTAAATGTCTTCTTGTTCTAGCTACTTTGTCTGGGTCCGCTATTGTAGAATTTAAGAAAGGTGTGTTTATCCAACAATGTTTTATGAGGTTTAAATAAGCTTTAGAAATTATTTGAAGTCTTTATCAGCTGTGAACAGTAAAATTCCATGCTGTCACACCTCCTTTCATTACTGGAGGCTTGTACTTAACCTTGGTGCACAACCTTACAGTTTAAAATATCGTCTTGGCTGTACATATGGTTGTGGGGGCCAGTAGCTAGATAAATTAAAGTCTAACACTTAGGTTTGTTATCATTTGTTTTGTTTTCTTCATATACAAAAAAACTCACTGGTGCAAAAGGTGAACATTAATATGACATTAAGACACTGTCTATTGATCAGCCCCGCTCCACCCCATGAGAATGTGTTCTGGTAGCATAGACTTTATATTTGTCTGCAATACCTCATCAAAACTAGTTTCCTTAAAGAAAGAGCAACACAAGTACATAATGTTTCATATAACAAAATCCTAATGTCTAATTTTAAAAAATCTCCTCAGTTCAGGACCCTAACAGTACTCAGTGGAGACTCTGGAAGAAGAGCTCTGTGTGAGCGGGACACTTGTCTCTCGCCCCAACAGAAACTGATCCACTAAACGATATTTCCTCTCCCACCTTGTCTCTAATATCCTAGAACCCAACATGGCTACAACAACACTGCACACCACACTGTGGTGTCAGGAGTCTCTTTACATCCAGTTTACAGAAAAGCAAGAAAGAATACATGGTTCACCAGAGAATCACGGAAGGATACTGTATTGATCATATTCCCTGTCATTTGAGGTAAATGGTTTGGCACTCCTATTAACTATGCAAAGTTACAGACAGCAAACAAACTACCCTGAGAATAGTATGATCCTTCCTGTCCCCTTTGCAACAGTGACTCCCAGGTTACAGCGTGAAGGAGAAGCGGGATCTCCTCTATATCCTGATCCGACAGTTCTAGTAGTTTTGAAAACCAAATAAACATTATGCCTGCCATAGCTGTACCTGTATTTTAATAAGTTAATGCCTAACTGTATCTGTGAGCTACATGTTCCCTTGGTCCTCTACCAGACTGGAAATAAGGCATACGTTTTTGACAGTGAGGGTAATTAACCATTGCAACAATTTACTAAGGCTTGTGGTAGAATCTCCATCACGGACAATTTTTTAATCAAGATGAGATGTTTTTCTAAAAGATCTGCTCTAGGAATTGTTTTGGGGAAGTTCTATGGCCTATGTTACACAGGAGGTCAGACTAGATGTCTTAATGGTCCATGCTGGCCTTGGAATCTATGTATAATTTTGCTAAGTATAATCTTCCTAGGTAATAGACACTGCTTAATAGCGCCAAGTCCAGACACAGGGGCTGCCAATAAAAAGTTTGCACTTGCCAATAGTGTCCTCACAGTGATATCTGCGATATGGCAATTTAACCTTATAGTAAGAAAAGCATATAACTCCAATTTTTAGCAAATGTTGATTCTATTTAATGGTTTTTTGGTTAGGTATGAGTAAAACAAGTAAGACAAAGGGATGGCTGTGGAGAAGCCATAGGGTTAAAATGACTTTTTTTTCCTCCCAAGCCCTCATTGAATAACATCCTATTACAATTACATGGGAAAAAGCCCTTGGGCCCAGATTTTAAAGGTGCTTAGGCGGTGCTGCGTTTGCTGTTGCAACTCCCGATTTAAGAGCCTAAATCCCATGCTTCTTAGCATTCTTCACCCATTAACATGGAAAAGTCATTGTGAATAGATCCAAGTATATATTACGCCCCAATTATGACGACAACAATAGTTTTATTTATATGCCACCCTTTAGCTCTATAATAGCTGTTACCCATTAAAGCCGTCATGGTGCTGCTGTACAATAGAATAAAACTACTATAATAAAAATGTAATCTTCTTCGGAAATTGTCCAATAAAGTGTGATTTAAGAGAACACTGGTAAAGTGATTACATATTAATTAAAAAAATCAAATAGAAAATGTCCAGATGACCTACGTCTTTGTTGCTCCCTTACAGGATATAAAATGGTTCATACTTTGTTTTCATGTGTTATTTTTTAAAGCAACATTTTATTTGTGAAAGTAACAAAATTTGACTGACTGATGAAGAGTGTGTGGATCTTGGGAGGGGGCTAGAAGAACTGAAGTGATTTTTGAATACATAAACTTTTGTGATGGGTACAATGCTAATCTTAGCCCCAAGAAGTGTTCTCGTCTAAGTGTACCAAAACATAAACTGACCGAAAATGTATGTATACTTTTGCTATTTAAAAAGTCTCTGAATTTCTACAGCAGAGAAATTAACAGAGGAAAGATGGCCTTGTGGACTGGGCCTCCAAAGATCTGAGTTCTATTCCAGACTCCAGCTTGCTAGAAAATGTTCTTGTAAAGGGCCCTCCCACATTTGCAGGAGACAAATTGCATGACTTGTGCATTTTTTAATAATCTCTAATTTATAGGCTTCGAAATGTCTATTTTTTTTCTCCATTGGCAAAAATGATTGACTTTAAATAGGTAGGAGATTTCAGAGGTGCCCTGTCATACATGGACCACACCTCTTCTGGCGTCTCATGTACCTCTGTCAATCTGGCCTACACTGTGAGAGGGCATTTGCCCTTTTGGTATCAGTCATGTAACA